ATATCCCAATTACTTCTTTATGTAAAGGAGACATGTTCTGGAAAGCTTTAAAAGAAAATCTTCTAAAAACCCATTTTCTATTAATGATGAATAAACTTTTCCCCCAAAAAACAACCTGTTGGATTCTGCGTCTGTAAGTTAACTCTTAATTTTTCCATCTTCGTCAGCTACCATATTTCAGCCTTAACAAAACACCATTACACCATTTATGACATTTGCAGTGAGCCAGAAAAGAACTGTGTGTTGTGACTACCAGTCTAGCTGAGCTATTTGTAAATATCCATCACTACAATTCAGCTAAAGCATGAGCTACATATTCCCAGGGGGAACTGCTTTGGAGCTGTCAATTTTGCTTTAGAAATAACTGTTCTCGTGCAAAATGCATATGCGTGTCAGCTGTGACTGTTAAAATCTGGGTAGATCACAAAACATCTAGTTTACATTAAAGTAAATTATTTTAATATACACATATGTAAGGCTAAATCTCATCAGCTCTCATCCTGTCTCATACAAACACAGCAGTCTTAAGCTACTTTTTCTTTAACTGAACATTCATTAAGGTTGAATTTTGGATCACTGATATTCTATCAAGACTATGGAAATAAAGAATCTAGTCATTTTATAGAACGATCTTTAGTACTGCTTTTAATTACTAGATAGGCAGAAACGCAGTCAGATATTTAATCTCATGGTTTCCATAAATTATATGAAATACATTTCCTGAGGTTCAGAACATTGTATAAATATGACAATATATGATTCATTTGAAAGAAAGGTGTAACAAAAATGCCCTATAAAGCAAAAAACTTTATACTGCTTATTTGTTTTCTCCCAGTTATTTTAATCATTTCCACAAATCCATTTGTGCTAGTTTAAGCCAAAATAAGAATGTTCCAGAAAGATTTCATCTCTAATTAGCATTTAATTTTTGTTAGTGTAACAAAGCTGGTATGGTTGAAATATATGGGATACTAAGCATAATTCAGCAGCATAAGATCCTACAATATGTGCCCTGAGAATTTGACGCAATGATGCCATGCAAGCAGACCATGTACTTTAAAGACATGTTCAATGCCACCTGAAAATTCACAAGCTTTTGTACATAGCTTTGATGTATTACTGAAGCATGTCACTGCTGCTACTGGCACAAAGATCTAACCATCTACATCAAATCAACAAAATCAGATTCTTCATTCTTTTATTCCAATGTAGCTCCACTGAAATTAAGGGGCTGCTCTGGAAGAAAAAGATGCATCTCTAACTGAATTTTTTAAACAAAATATTTCCAAAACTGTACATCGATATGTATTTATATTATTATATACCTTATAATTTGTACAAATGCTTGACAATTGCATGTTAAACTTTTTCTAAAGCAAATCAAAATATTATGGGCCTTCTAAATATTTAAACCATATAAACAGCCCTCTTTCCTCCTTTACTGTTAGCAGTGTTAGCGGAAACATGTTGATGCTCAGTTAGCATCACAGAAAGCATACCATTTAGTTAACAAGAGATATGCTGGCCATTAGGAAAACCGGACAAAGGGACTATTTCCTAGTACAATTGATCTAAGCACTCAGAGGACATTCCAAATGCAACTAGATCTGCTCGCTCTGAGAGCAGCCAGGGCCTAAAGTCTAATTAAGACAAAGGTTTTTAATTAAACCTGGGATATGCTTTAGTAGGTTTCAGTGTGTGTCTCCCCTTGATAGTGCCACTTGAGGTGCTCTCCTTCAAGAGACAACGAAGCAAATGTTTTAAGACAGATGTGCTGTTCCTATGTTTTCCATCCTGCTCTTCCAATAGCAACACTCCTTGCTCTGGTAGCATAACTTAAAAGTCTTTCCATGGGAAACTCTTTACTTACTTCCAGTATATCCAAGGTCTTTCTAAAATGAAGCACACAGGAAAGGGATATTCTCTTTTAAAAAGAGAGAGAGAGAAACCCAGGATAGGGCCTTAACAACCAAGGACTATATTCAATGCAAAGCAAGCCACAGACCCCAGTCCATTAGTCCTCAAATGCAGTAAGGCCCTTCTTTTCCAATTCATCAAGAGGGCTTGCTCCTATGGAAGGATGGCCTGTCAAAGGATGTGCATGTACATGTGTGTGCAAACAGTGCAGACTTTCCTATTCAAATGAAAGGAAAGGTTTTGCTTAACTCACTGAGCATTCACATTCCTGGCAGCTTATGAAATCTGGGGAACTATTTTTAAAGCAACAACAATAACCAATCCTCAGTCAGTGCCTTTACAGAAGTAAACAGTCTTGACATCCTGAAGTGGAAGGAAGTCATTTGAGAAGATGATAAATACCTATTTCCTCATTTAGTTATCATTTAAACATGCTACAGCTAAGCAAGAATTCATGCATGCATGCATGCATGCATGCATGCATACTCTGCCTTTCTCCTCAAAAAAGGACCCCAGATGGCTTACACATTATTAAAAAGTTGATATTTTAAAGCTAAAAACAGTAAGCATACACCCTCTACTATCACTTCTTCTATTAAACAAACTAGCAAGCAAGCAAAGAAGCAAGCAAACTAGATTTTTAAAACCCAATTCAAAGATTCAGCACTCCCCTAAATCCTTCTCTATGCATTATTTAACCTTCTCTAATTCCCACATACTTCTTATAGGTTAGGAAATAAAGAGAAAGAAAAGCAGGGTTTTGAAACTTGGCCATTTGCACACCCCCAGTCCCCACTCAATCCACTCAATTAAGGGGATATTATTTTGGGAGACAGAAAAAAGGGGGCAAGGAATCCTTGTTGCTATGGAGACATGTCAAAGCTGACACCCCTGTATAAAGTGGGAAAGGGGAAGGAAGATCTAAAGCTCTTCTACAAAGTTTGTTTAGCCTCCCTGGTAACTGCACAAAGAAGCAATTCTTTAAAAACAAGACACAATTCAAAGCATACCTCACTAACACCCAAAAGGCACTTGATGGAGCACTAACAACCACAAAAGAAAGAAACCAGCTTCTGCTGTAGTTTTGAAGCAAATGAAAATAATTTTAGAGGGGGCAAAAAGATCAAGAACACATACTCAGACTATACAACAGGCAGTCAATTAAACAGAAAACTTTTCTGTATCTTCTTTTCTTGGATAACTTTTCTTCCAATCCAAAGGAGTGGGTGGGTAAAAGAAACATCAAGAATAAAAGTGGAACAAAAGATTCATGAGCTGAATCTGTGTAAGCTACAGTTTAACTTGCAAAGGTTTCCAAAGAAGAGTACAGATATTGCTGTCCATGGGGACAAATTTAAAACAATTTACAAAATGTTTTTCTTGTGTGTGGAGGGGGCAAGTTGAACAAGTCACTCATGGAGGAAAAGAGATATTGTGAAATCATGTCTCTCATTTACAGTAAGAAATGTTACATTGAATTTTTTTAAAATTCATGAAAGCACATGAAATGCTAGGAGAAACGCCAGTAAAGGCAACCCGGTATTGGATACAGATACACAAGGGGAAGAGGCAGAGGGAAGGAAACTGAATATGCTGTCTAGGGGTAATTTTCAGAAAAGACCGCAGAGGAGAATATGGTTGGCAGAATGGAGATGTCAGAAAGAATCTTGAAATAAGGATGTTGCTTTTGTGTTCAGTAAGGATTCAAAGAGTGAAAGTCACAACGTTTCTGCCAGCCTGGGTTCATGGCATAAATATTAAATGGAACAGAAAATAACTATTTTCTATATTCTATTTTCTGTACCACCTCCACATCCAGCAAGCAGGATCCAGGCTCCTTCATCATCTGCCCATGCAAACTGAGAAAACCATGTGATCATCCAATGCAAACAGTTTTCAGAAGCTAATTCTGTTTTCTGACCTTAACTTTATTTTGATTTTCAGAACAGAGCAAGGCCACATATAATAACAGTATGTGTATAATTTGTGCATGTAATGAACAGTCTGCTTTCGAACGGCAGAAATGTACTTTCCTGTCAACTGGCACCTACAAGGATGTGGAGATGGAAGGGCATCTGGAACAATAAGGATACTGACACAAGGTGTGGAACAGAGCAGGAGCGGGAGAAGACAAGAGGGCTGGAACACAGAATGGCAGACGAAAGACAGATGGGAGCTATGGGAGATGTGGGTGGCAGAGCATGGAGGGCTAGCAGGACAGAGCAGTGATCAGTGATGGTAGGTTTCAGAGTTTGGGTATAAGAAAAAATACTAGTCTCAGAATCAGGGATGAGTTTGGAAGAGATAACTGTGGGATAAGTGGCTGGAAAACGGAGTGGCTTCTAAAGATTCAATTAGGATGCAAGGATGGGTGGGCATCCCTGTGGTGGGAAGTCAGGTGGCACGGAAAGTGGTAACGGGGAGTGGGGGGAGCGCGTTACGCGAGACCCTGGGGGGGGCAAGCAGACTACGGTGTGCAGGTAATTCTGCGATCTCGGAGTGGGGGGAGCGCGTTACGCGAGACCCTTTGGGGGGGGGAAGCAGACTAAGGTGTGCAGGTAATTCTGCGATCCCGCTCCTTGCACATCATCGGCGTAGTGCTGGGCGCCGCATGACAGGGCTAATCGGTGGGTTGGAGTCGGGAGAAGCTTGCCTCCCGTGGGGGGGGGGGGCTGGGGGGGCGCTAGAGGGTGAATACGGTGGCAGGAAAGGACCCCGGGGCGGGTTCAACAGGAGGAGCATAGTGGATCGCTGCCATGGCAAGGAGGATGAAAGAGGGATGGGGCTGGGGGGGGGGGAGAGCAGTGCAGACCTGAGGGGGCAAGCAAGGTGTGTGGGTGAAAGGGAGAGAGGGAGGAGGAGGCGCGATTCCAGGAACCGGCTGGGGGCGGCAGGTGGGGAGGGAAGGGCAGCACGAAAAGGGATGTTTCGTGGAGCGCTGCTGCAATGGGTGGGGTCGAGGAGGAGGGCGACGGTGGGCAGCGGACGCCGTTCGTTCGCGGCTGGATCGAGGGGAAGGCGGGCAAGGGGGGGCGGCAGACTGGGCTGGGGGAGCCGGAGCGGGGGAAGGTCGCCTTTCTCACCGCTATTCAAGGTAGTTTTGCAGCGCCAAGTCTCCGGGTTGCCGAGTTTGGTGCAGGACTCCCAAAGGGACAGGTAAGACTGGTGATCGGCCGTCACCCAGGCCGGACTCAGCACGGCCCCCAGGTCCAGACACAACGCCAGGAAGATGCACACCAGCCCCACCAGCTTGAGCGGGGTCAGCACCGAGACGCGCACTTCTTCCATGCCGCTGCCGGCTGAAGCCATGGGCGGGCGGGCGGACGGGGCACCAGGGCAGAGGCGCTTCGGCGAAACCGGGCGCCCCTTCGGCTAGGAGTCCGGCTGGAAGCGGGAGGCGAGGGCGACGAGGGCTGGCGCTTCTCTGGGGCTCCCGCCGGGTCCCAGGCGGTCAGGTCGAGCGGGCGAAGCGGGCGGCGGCGTCAGCTGCTCCCTCCAGTCGCCACTTCTCGGCTCGCGCAGCTCCCCAGCACCTCACTCCTCCTCCTCCTCCTCCCCTCCTGCCTGAATCCCTCCCCGTCTGGGGAAGGGGCGGGGGCAGCGGCACCGGGGCCAGCGCCGAGGCGCCGCACACGTCACTCCCCGGGCTTCCTCCCGGGAAAGAGGGCGGGGAGGCGCGGACGGCTCCGTGGTTGCGCTCCCTGGCCGCGGAGCTAGAGGGTGGGTTCGGCTGCCGCCAGCCACGGCCGGCGGCGGCGGCGGCGGCAAGAAGAACCCGCTCGTTCCCTCGTCACCCCCGCCCACCGCCCGCCCCATCTCCGGCTTGGCCTCGCTCCAGTCCTGCCGCCGGACGTTCCGGATGGCGACGTAGCCCCGCTCGGCAGGGCGAGAGCAATTAGTGCGCGCGCGGGGGGGGGGCGCGCGGCGCCGGCTGCCGTCGTCTTTGGGGCGTCTTGGGTTGGGTCGCGGCGAGAGAGCGCCGACGTTTCGGAGGCTCCTCTCGGCGGCGTAAAGAGCTGGCTTTTAGGAACGGCCGGTCGGTGCAGGGAGTCGCCCTCCGGAACTTCTCTCGATGGGGAGCTGCGCCTTTGCTTGTGAGGCCGCTCCTGCCTTAAGCCGTGCCTTGGGATCGCGCGTTTCAGCGCACGCCTTGGGTTGCGTCTTTACTGCTTGTTGGGCAAGACCTCCTTCTTCTCCTCCTCCTGTCAGGGGCAGCAGAGGTCCCGCTCCACAGGAGGATCGTGACCACTCCGAAATGCGTGGGTGAGGTGCGGTCCCTGCTCCGGACTGCAAACCAGACAAACCCAAGCAACGGAGGATGATGGGCGGGCAGCCAGAGCCGAATGCCTGGCGGCGTGAAGCTCCCCAATGAGGGCTGGTTCTGGACGGAAAGGCAGCTGTCCATGCCCTCCCCGCCGCCGGGTAACTTTTTACAAATAAAAACAAGGACGAGTCCTGAGGCACTTTTCAGGCTAATTAATTGTTTTGTTTTACTTATTGCTTTCTTTTCCCTCCAGGTTAGGAGGATAGAAGATAAGGCCTAGAATCCTAATACTTACACCTTTGCTGTAACTCAGATGGTCTAAATTGCTGCCAGGAATTGCTGCAAGTTGAGAAGTTGGAATTCCAATTTCTCACAGGGATGTTAGCAGGACAGGGCACAGAAATCTAGAAGTGAACGTTCTGGTAATGTCAGAAAAATAAACACCTAGTGCTGTTTACAATATACACTTGGAGGGCAGGATCACGTCCTCCTCCTCCTCTTGGAGCATTTGTGCCCCTGCCTCCCAGCGGAGTGGGCAGGAGTCAGGGCCTCTTTCCCAGGTGCTAAATTTGTTAGCAGTGCCCCCATTTGTTGTGCACAAAGTCAGGAGACTTAATGTCTTAACTAGCAGCCATTTAGTGCTGCAATTCACTTTGCTGGATGAGTACCAGTCTGTCTAAAATGTAAGGAAACATTGGGACACAAATAGATCATCAGCATGCTCAACCTCTTACGTTTCACCTTCTTCCCACCACTATATAAAATAACATAGAGGGTACTTGTTCACTGAAAGAAGTGGGCTGACACAAAAGCTTTCTTGAGAGAGAAGAATTAATAGCACTAGATCTTAATTCCAGAATAGTGCCAGGAGCCTTTCAATTTCTTATCTCCAATTTTGTCAGGCTAATGTAGGTAGTCTTACGCACATTCTGTAGAAGGACAGTTGTCCTCTATATGCTCTGTGCTGCTTCTGATTGAGGTTGGCAAATAAATACCAAATAATAGTGTTTTGTGTTGTGTGTGTCATTGTTGAGATATGTGTTCTACAGGAAGAATAATTCAGAGCACCTCTTTTAGACTAAATTGCCATGTTGGGATTGGATTCTTCTTACAGACAAATGACAAATAATTAAACAAATAGAGTGGAACAGCACATATATCTAATAATCATATTTATTGAATTTTTAGGTCAGTCACTTGAGTTCTCTAAGTAATTTCCTGCCCATACCAAAACGTATTAAAAACATGAAATAAGACAATAAAAAGGGGCACATCATAAAACTAGAATAGAACCATAAGCAAAGAATAAGAATAAAAAAACTAGAATAGAACTATCAGCTAAGAATAAGAATAAAAACATTGTAACAAATAAACCCAAAACAAGATAAGCGCCCTAAAGAGAACAATGCTAACATTTAAAAGCACATTTTAGCATGTGTGGGGAATATAAAAGGCCTTCACTGGGCACCAGTAACATATGGGAGGAATGTGCCTTCAAATAACCTGTCTCCATGGTGTTCAGGGTTTCTGGATTGGGGGCCTGCAAGGGGACTGAACCAAAACAGATAGCATGGTTTTTATTTTATATTTACCCCACCTTGCTCCTTAAAAAGACCCAAGGTGGGGTACATAGAACACACTGTTTCTTTTAAGTGATGTAGTGAGCACCCAGCCGCCCTTTTCAGGACTAACTGAAGATTCTGGACCAACACCAAAAGCATCCACACACACACACACACACACTGCATTGCAGTATTGTTGTCACCAGGCTTTCTCTGTTCAGGCAGGGTTGCCTCACTTGATAAATAAGAGTCTGCACTACTGAGATCATGTGTGCCTCTTATGAATCTAAAAGCACCCCCAAACCAAAGACCTAGTCATTTTAGAGAGAGTGCAACACCCTTTAGAATAGAGCAAATATGTCTTTACTGGATGGGCAAACACACAAACCTCATAACAGTTATCTCCATCTTGCCTGGACTGTGTCTCAGTTTATTGGCCTTCCTCCAATCTGTTAACCCATCTAAGCACTGAACACCTGCCTCACCTGTGTTAAAGGAAAAGGAGATACGGAGCTGCTTGTCATCCATCTATTAGTAGCTCCTTGGCTTTTATCTCCAGATAAACTCTCCCAGTGGTTTCATGTAGTTGTTGGAAAGCATTTGAACTAAAGCAGTCATGAGCCTCTCCAGTGCAGCTGACCTGGGACAGAGCAGGCCTGCTTTTTCAAATTTCCAAATTAACTTCCCAAATCAGAACAAAGCACTATGGTGCAATACTTCCTCATCCCATCTCAGTTCCACAGCTGAGGGCATCAAAAGCCACTGAGAGAGCAAAGAAAATGAACACAGTCACAATTTTCTCCATTCCTTTTCCCCCATCATGCAATATGAAAAGGCAGTCGGAGCAGTTCCTGGTCTACAACCCAGCCAGAAACTAGACTGGAATAAATCCAGGAAATCAATTTCCCTAAAGTATGTGTGGAGTAGATCAGTGACTACTTTGTACAAATACCCATTATAAGGAAAATCCTAATGCAAAGGAAACCTGGGGAAAAAAACTCCAAACAATGCAAACAGAGTATATGTAAATAGAATGCTGATTGATGGCTAGCAGAAGCAAAGATATGATAATGATCAAAGAAGATATGATAAACCAGTTGGAGGAAGAATTGTGTTATAAATTCCTGAAATAAGCTATACTTAGAGCTGCTCTGAAGACAAGTTGGGAAGTTTCAACTTTTGGTACCTACAATTCTGACCTGTTTGTTTAGTTATTGTGTATTCTGTATCCTTCAGTGAGCTCAAGGTGGTATGCATGATTCCTCCCTGCTAGGGCAGGCTGAGTTCTTGTGAGTAGCCGAAGGTCATACGAAAAGGTTCAAGGCTAGATAGTTATATCTCCTGAATTATAATCTAATACTCTAACCACTGCACTATTAGCTATGTGGATCCATATTACCTTAATTCAGAAAGAGTCGCATCAGCTGCCAAACTCAATTCAAGATACTAGTGCTTGCCCATAAAGACGTAGGTGGTTGGGATGCAAATACCAGGTCTCTTCTGCCATATCTTCAATTGATTGTCAGATGTGGCCCCTTAATAAGTTTTAAGCTTGAAAATATGTAGGGCTCAAAGACAGTGGTGATGTGGGAATGTGACTAAATCTACTCCCACAGCTCCATAGAAGTTATGCAGACCATCACATGTTCAGCATAAGTGCTATAAGTGCATTCAATTGCATGAGAACCGCCCTAAACTCTTTCAGGCTTCTAACTGATTTTATTTTTCAGCTGGTTCATTGGTATACTTGCATTGTCTCCTGCTACTCAGTTTTATTGCTAAGAGGTCTGAAAACCAGCCAAATAAATAAAACGTTCCGGTGCAGGCAGAATAAGGATGTAAGCCTTTATGTGTCTTATTCCCACGAGAGAAAAAAATGCAAACTTTTTCTCAGCCACAAGATGATATAATATTTTCTGGTGGTGTGGTTGCTCATGTTTGTGAGATTGGCTTCTTTTTATCCCTAGCATAGATGGTGTTTAGTAGCCATAGAATGTTGATGGACAAAAATGAATGAATGAATGAATGAATGAATGAATGAATGAATGAATAAATAAATAAAT